GGTCAGCCTTGCACTCCTTCGTGAATCACTCCCACGCACACACTAACACCCTGGGGTCACTGCCAGCCAGGGAGAATAGGCTCCTCCAGTCACTGCCCCACACCTTTGTCAGTATCACAATTCTTCAAGATAGTTACCCGTGTTCCCTCTGTCCGCAGCACTGTCTGTCTTAGATGCAGTGCAGCCAGCCTTCGGTCTCTAGCGCTCTGCTGACATCCCTGTGCAACCCCGGTCTCTCCCAGTCCAAAGGTCAGGCCAAGCAAGGCTCCCCCTAAGGTGTCTTATTCCGTCCTCTCTGTGTCTCCTCCTTCTCCCCCACCTCCCCGGTCTGTCCTTCTCAGTCTTCACCGGTTCTCATCTGTAGTTGCACCCACACCTCAGCCACATTCATGGCTTTAGATACTACTTCTGCACTAGTGGCTCCGCAGTGTGCACCCTGACCTGATCTCTTCCCTCACCGCCAGGCCCGAGGCTGGACCATCCCAAACATCCCCAACACTGCGGCGTCTCCCGCTGAAGATGTGCATTTGAATGTGGCCCCCTGGCCTGTGGGGCCCCTTTTTGCTCTGTCTTCTCCTCCCGACTGCAGAAGCCCTCTCTCCTCTGACTTGCATGTCCTTCTCAGAGGTAGAGAGAACATCCAGCTGTCCCCCACATCTCCCTGAGACCACGCATAACTCTCCGCTGCGGTGTTGCACTGCCACCTCTGCCACACCTGAAGAATCTGGGAAAAGGTCTTCACCTGGCCTCACCGGAAGTTTCTCTGGCTCTTGACAACACTGGTGAGATAACTTGTCTGGACCCAACACTGCTGCCACATGCAGTCCGGCCACAGCAGGTCCAGGAGATCCCTGCAGGAGGGAACGATGCAGGTGAGGAGACAAACAACACAGACAGCCGAGGTCCTTCTGGTGGGCCAGGGGAGCAAGGCTCCTCTGACACAGAGAAATGCTTTTTGGTTTATTGTATACTTTTGCAGTTACATATGAAACTCTTAGATACAGTGAGGTTTCTATTTTAGTTATAGGTTCAGACATGGTTAACCGACCATCTGGCTGCAACCCTAGCAGGAAATCAAATTTTTTAAAGCACATAAAAGGAAGCAAAAAGATCGATCACTAGGTGTTCTCGATTAGGTATAATATTTCACAGAACTGTTCACTTGTCTGCTGGACAACAGGACCCACATTTACAATATCTCCATCTAGAGCCAGTCCAGAACACACGGGGCATTCACCTAATGCTTTCTGAGGTCTGTGCAGTGCTTCCCTCCCGTTCTGGTGGGTGAACATTGCCACACAGGAGGTAGGGGGCTGACAGAAATCTCTGTGGTGGCTTTTACTTTTCCTTTCAACCTTGGAGGGGTGCCTTTCATCCTGGGCTCTGATTCTTTAACTACTTTCAGTTCTGATCCTTCAGGTCCCCAACCATCCTTTATGAATAGCACAGTAAGTATCTGGAAAGCTGTGATTAACATAGAGAGTAGAGAGAAGCTGCACACCCATCCTATGCGGTCTTTGCTTTGCAGATACCCGCTGCCCGTCCTGACTGTGTCAAGGCACTGGCACTGCAAGGTCTCCGGCAGCCACAGCCGTGTACGGCTCACAAGAAGGAGACCCACAGAGGAAGGCAGAGCAGGGACCCCAGCGGCAGGGCCTGCGTCCCCGTTCACTGAGACACCTTCCCCGAACCCATGATTTGAGGGGAGTACTTCTTCATGAGAATCAATTACTGTAAAAAAAAAAAAACTGAGGCTGAGGAAGTTGTAAAGAAGAGGTTTATTTTGACTCAGGAAGGCTGAGGCCGCCAGCCTCTTCCTGGCTCCTCCTGCTGTGTCCTGTCATGAGGGGAAGCAGACACACATGGGCTGGGCACCAGCTCACTGTCACAGCCCACATTCCCTCGGCCGACCCTGTCCCAAGAGGAGAGCTCAGCTCCCAGGAGACCTGGCGATTAAAAGCGTGCATGGCTCCCGACAGCCTAATCACCACTGCCATGCTGGGGGCAAAGCTGTGCCTCCTGTATTACGGCGGGACCACACCCTGTTCACACCACACCCGCCCTGACAGACGGGAATCTTCATCAGCAGAAGGCTACATGGATTGTCCCTGGTTGAGAAGTTGTTCCTAAATATGCGAATGTATGGGGGGGCGGGGAAAGTCATAGCTTCCTGGGTCCCACCCACAGATTTTCTAATTCTACAGCTCTCGCACCCGAGGCTTTGAATTTGCAGCGGGTTTTTAAGTGACGCTGTGGTCTACTTCAGGACCACTCATTGAGAAGCCCTGCTAGTGGTTAATCACACCAGCCCAAGCACACCAAAGTCCCTTCTGCCGCCAAGTAATTTGATCCCAAAGGCAAAAAGCACCATGGAATCCTGTCCTTCCCATAGCAAATGCCTGCCTCCAGGGACAGCATCTAACATGTCACAGATGGACAACTATCGGGTGAATACAATTATCACTAAGCATGTCATCCAGATATTTGCAACAATAGAAGTCATTCTGTGTGAGATGAAGCCATAGAATCCTGTGGCTAAGTCCTGGGAATCACTTGCTCCCATTCATTTGCTGAATACAGATTCTAATGTTCCAGCCACAGTGTCTTAGCCACTTTCCTGCCACTGGAACAAAATACCTGCTGCCTGCAACTGAAAGGAGGGAAGGCTCCTTTGGCTCATGGTTACCGTGGTTCAGTCCATCGTCGGCTGGCTCTGAGGCAGAATCAGCATGGCGGAAGGGTCTGGCAGAGGAAAGCTACTCAATTCATGGCATCCAGGAAGCAACAGCGAAAGGAGAAACCAGGAACAAGAATCCACCTTTCCACCCTGTCACACCTCCAGGGACCACTTCCAACCAGCCCCACCTCCTAACAGCAGTTCAGCCCTGATCTCATCCACGGATGAATCCTTCATGATCCAATCGCCTTCCAAAATTCCCACCTCTGAACACAGATTTTTGGACCTTCTAGACCTAAACTATAGCAATCCGTTACAAAGCTAAAAGGACTCTCCACTTCAACTCTCGTTTAAATACAACACTGAACTATGGACAGCATGAGGTATTCTCTCAATGAGCAGCCCACAGGGAAAGGAGATGTCCACCTCCACTGCCATCAGCAGAAGCCCTGTGTGGATTTCTACTTATCAAATGCTTGGTGATCTACAAAGCCCTTCCATTCCACTATCTTCTCTGATTCCCACAATGCCCCTCTAAGACAGGGGGCATGAAGCAGACAATGACACAGATTCTGGCCCCTGATACTCCCCCTCCTGTACCCCCAGCCCCCCCGCCATACTTTCCTGTCAACTCCAGGGGCCCTCGGATGGCCAGGTCTGCTAAGGCTTGCTGCAGATCAAAGCCTGGGAACTTCTGCACACACTATAGCCCAGTCACAGGCAGGACTGGCCCATTAGTCACACACTCTGCTCTAGGAGACCTTGAGTGAAGATGCCATGGGGTGGTGGGGTCTCCAGGGCTGGGACAGATTAAATCTCTAACTTGTCCCTCTGGGTGTCTTTCTGAGCCTGCATATTGAAAGCTGATCTTTTGAGATAACGGAATCATTTCATTGTTGGTTAAACAAGTCTTCCCTTCACTTCCTCATGCAGCTACTAGGAAATGAAGATGTGAAGGCACCACTCCTTCCATCACAGTACCAGCCACACCACTGCATGCTCACACAGTGGCCAGACATATTCTTCTACCCTACTTTATATTCCTACTGTAGCATAGATTTTATTTCATGCCTATTTATTAGATGCAATGTGAACTGGAAAATCCATGTTTACAAAATATTTGCTGGACTGAACACTATTAGAGTTCTTGCATTGTTTAGATCTTAGAGACATTTCACAATTTATTCATTCCTAAATTTTTTAAAGTTTCAGATTTAAGCATATCACAAAAATATTGTGATATATTTTTGATATATAATATCAGAAAGGAAGAAAAGAAGAAAGGAGGGAAGGAGGGAAGGAGGAAAGTGCACAGGATGAGAGCTCTCAACCTCCACCCTTAACAGCTGGGAGAACGACACGGTGGAAGAGTCCAACAGCTTAGGAGCTCACTCTGAGGGCTTGTGAAATACCACCTAGCATTTCATCGGCGCTTTGCAGTTCACAAAGTATCTTCAGTATATTATCACACTTAATGCTGAAGACTGCTGTCTGTGGACCACACCTGAGCCCTGGGGGGAGGAGTGGTGATGCGGTTCCAGCACATGGACAGCAACCACATCAGTCATCACAATAGACTGCAACCTCCACCAGGCTCTGGGCGGGGAGGCTCTGGGCGGGGAGGCTCTGGGCAGGAAGGCTCGCGGGCTCTGTGTTGGTGTTGGAGGGCAGCTCGTGCTGGCCCCGGAGCACAGCCGTCCCTGTGCTCAGGAGCTTCCAGACCTTGCCCCACGCTCCTCTTCACGTAGCTGCTCAGCTGTGTCCTCGTCATAGCACGACACTCATCAGCAAAGCATTCTCTTGAGCGCTGTGAGTGGCTCCAGTGAATTTTTGAAACTGAAAGGAGTTGTTGGAAGCCCTGGTTTGTAGCATGGGGGTAGCTTTGGACCCTGACTGAGCTGGCATCAAAGTAGAGCCACCTTTGCCACACCAAGTCCTTCCTTCTAGTGGCAGGATTGGCACTGAGCCGGGGCAGACAGCATCTGAATCAAACTGGATTGGAGGATGCCCAGTTGCTGCTGGAGAGTTGCCAGAACCAGGAGCTCACGGTGGGCCAAGCCCCATTAGAAGGACTTTACATCCACATCCACCTGTGATCCAAAATTCTGGGGCTGGGGATTTAGCTCAGTGGCAAAAGCACATGCCTGGCAAGCGCAAGGTCATGAGTTCAATTCCCGGTACCGGGAAAAAAAAAAAAATTCTGAAACTTGGACATCAAGGAGGGTGATTTCTTAACAGCAAGTATGTGGCAACCTCCGAGCCCGAAGCACAGAGCAGAAGTGACAGGAGGCTGCATGTGACCGTTCTCCATCCTCCGTGTAGATGGTGCATCGCTGCCTGCTCTGTGTTGGTCCCCAGATACCATGACGAATGTGTGGGGTCACGTCACCTTCCTGTGGTGTGCTGCTATGGCAAAATTTCAATAAAGAGGTAAAACCTAAGCAGTGGGGTGGGAGGACGGAGGCAGAGGGTGGAATTACTCAGCCATCAGCTAAAGAAGGACACCAGAAGTTGGAAGAGGCAGAGGAGGAAAGACCTCCGGACCACACCAGAAAGAGGCCCTGCCACACCTACCCTGGACTCGGGGGCCTGGCCTCCCAAAGAGAGAGAGAACGAGCTTGGGTTGCTTTGAGGAAAGGGAGAGAGACAGAGTCAGACAGACAGAGAAACAAAGAGAAACCACTACTCTTCTGCACATACGGAATGACCAGGTGTCCAGGATTTTGTTCAGTTAATTTGGGAAGGAAACCAGTAAGATGTCACAAGGAGGATTTGTAGAGCCAGAGGTCAGGCTGCCTGGCTGAGTTATACACTGGTTACTGTGCTCCAGGGCCGTAAACTGGGCCCACTTTAGCCACAAGAACAGCCCGAGCAAAGGCACATCTCCATCCCCCGGTTAGTCTTTGTGCACTCTTTGACTCCGCGTGACATTGCAAAGTTAGGTCACCCAGCTCTCCACCTCGTTCCCAGGGTCTGGGTAAAAACCAAATGTGATGGATTGACAACTGGTGGTCAACTTGTAACCCCCAGCTGAACTGAGTCAGCGTGGTGCTGGACGTGGGAGGCCCACCTGAGGATTGCTGCCAGGAGCATAAAAGGCAGAGCTGCAGAGGCTGTCGGGAGCTGGTAGAAGCTGTAAGGAGCTGTTGGTTCTCTTGGAGGAGCTCATCATACTGGCTTTCCTGATGAACTTGGCTGTTTTCATCCTCCAAGGAGCTCAGGACCTTGTTGCCGAGAATGGCTTCGGCTCACTTTGGGGAGCTCTGGTCCTCACTCTGAGCATCACTTCCTGGCTCCGGGGGGGAAGATGGTGCACTGCCGGTCTCCTGGAGAAGCTTGTCCCATTGGCTTTCCTGATGGGACCTCAGCTTTCCTCATCATCAGAGGAGCTTAGAACCTCACTGCTGCTGAGGATGGCTGTGGTACTTTTCAGGGGAGCTCTAGTTCTTATTTGAACATTGCTTCCTGGCTCCAGTGCAGATCCCTCAGCCTGCTGGCATGGATCCCTCACCCCTCTGGCACAGACTTTCTAGGTTCCACCACTGACCTTTGAGCTTTCCCAGTGCAGATCTGTGAAACAGGCCTGTGTAAGACATCGTCATAGGCTCTAGGCCTCCAGCTGGACTCGTGGGAAGTATTATTATGGGCTCTAGGTCTTCAGCTGGACTCATGCAGGATATTACCATGGGGCCAAGTGTGGTGGTGCACACCTACAATCCCAGCACCGGGCTACAAAGTGAGCTCAAGGCCAGCCTGGACTGCATAGTGAGACCCTGTCTCAAAAATACAGGAAAAAAGAAAAACAAAAGACATTCCCATGGGATCCAGGCCCTCAGCTGGATTCTTCGGTCTTTAGTGTGTGGACAGATTTCCTTCTCTCTCCTTGTATGTTGCTCTTTGCATGACTATTATAAAATAACCTTATAATGATGTGTCCTCTATTGTCTCGCTTCCCCTTGCAAAACCTCGAACTACGCACTGAACCTGAAGAGTCTTGGGTGAAAGACCGTTGACCTCTGCAACCACACTTCCCTTGTCTCTGCCTCTGCTCTTCCTGCTCCTGGAACTCAGGGACCCAGAGGCCTGGTCATGAGAGAAGAGGCAGGTCGGGAAGCAGCGGGGTGAAAAGAAGGAGCAGAGACTTTGGATTCACCTCTGAGGTCTGTGCACGTTCACAGTAATGCGGGGGGGGGGGGGAGGCATGGCGGAGCGCACCTTTAATTCCAGCACACTGGGAGGCTGAGGCAGGAGGATCACAGGTTCAAGCCCAGCCTGAGCAATTCAGTGACTTAGTAAGACTCTGTCCCAAAAAAACAAAATAATAAAATAGGCTGTGGACATAGGGCAGCTCAGTGTGAAGGCCCTGGTTTCAATCTCTCACGCTGGGGAAAACAAAAAAAGAGAAAGAATTAGGAGGTTTGTGCAAAGTGAAAGCTAAGTAGAGAAAGATGGCTTTATTGTGAAAAATTATTTAGAGCCTCACACAAGCACATTTACACACATCTCCCCTCAGTGGCGGCAGCGCCCCACTTTACTGCATCTGTGGCTGCTGAGCCCCAGCCCCTTCCTCTGTGAAGACAGCTCTCTCCAGGAGGAGCAGCAGGCGGCCCCCAAGTCCTCGTCACACCGCTGACTTCCGGCAACGTGCAAGTTCCGTCCCTCCGCAGGAAGAACGCACTGCCGCATTTCTGTTCCCCATCAGCTGCTGATCCCTTTTGGGGGACCCGGGGATGCTCCGGCACACCCCCAATCCCGCTCCTCTAGCCCACACCTTCCTGTCTCCACTGCCGGGATCTCACATCCAACCTGGTGGCAGAAAACCAGAGATCCCTGTGGTTCAGGGAATCCCTCCGGATCTCCTGATGGTATCTCTACAAGAAGATGATTTCCTTCAGTTTCTTTAAAGAAAAACTGACAAGCCAAGTACTGCTCCTCCTGCTAATATCAGTGGCCTCTGGAAGGTGCGCCTGGTTGTACTGTTAGGATAATGGAATCTTTATCTCTCCATGCTGTGTATCAGGGATTCTCTTAAGTGAGGTAGGAAGGCAGACAGGATAACAGAAAAAGAGCTCTTCTCCTGGTTACCTGAGCACTCCCTGAGCGGACAGCGCTGGGTGCCCCCATCTGGAAAATACATTAAACCTCCTTTTGGTAACATCCCCTAAGGCTGAAGACAGAGCACATCCTCTTCCGCCTGCAATCTGCATGCAATTGCAGCGTGGCATTTACGTCTTGCATGCTGACAATAGTGTTCCAGGAATCTAAGAGCGCATTGCTAGGTTTTGCATAAGCTGGCCTCAGGCTAAAACATCCAAAAACTGCTTTCCACATAAACGGCGTGAAGACCTTCCTACAAGTCCACCCCAGCTAGTTGGCTGCAGCTGTTGATTAGTGTTAGGGTTTGTGTCTGTGTGTCCCTGCAAAGCCTCATGCGGTGATGGGGCAGGCTTTTAGAGTTTGATTGATTATGGGTGTGAGAGCTACACCCGCCCTGGGGTGGATAGTTTGCATATGTAAGGGAGGGGAAGAGGCTGCTTGGGGCCATTCCTCCCTTTTAGTGGTTGTTGCTTTTGCTGTGTTCTGCTGCCATGAGCTGTAGCCCTCTGCCATGTGCCACTCTGCCTTGTAACCTGCCAAGTATGGACTGAAACCTCCACAAACTGTAAGCGAAATAAACCTTTCCTTCCTTAATTTTGGGCGTCAGATATTTTGTCCCAGAAATGAGAGAAAAGTAACCAAGACAATTAGGTTGCCTGCTCTACGTTCCATCTGCAATTTCAGTTCCCCAGCTGAAAAGTTCCAACGAGCTCTGAGGCGGAGGGCCTGCTCCACTGCAAGTGCTTCCCGGGCAGCAGGGGTGCTCAGAGCTACCCAGAGTCTGGCGACCAGCAGAGGCTCGAAGGGGAAGGAGAAGGCTGGACAGACAGTCGTCCCTCGTTGCACCTTCAAGGCCAGGCCCAAGCCCGACGCATGCAGATGTCTGCGTGGAGGTAGAGAAAGATCCCAGGAGAACGAAGCAGTCACCACCCACGCCCGTGTTCAAAGGAAAATGCTTCCAGGTTCCCCAGGCAAGCGCCACAAAGGAGGATGGAGGAGGCCACGCTCTGACCGTGGTTTCCACTGGGTCAGGGCCACAGGACCTCAGCAGTGGCCTCACGTGGAGACCATTGGAAGACTCAGACCCTGAGGAAGCTCTGCCCCTTCCTTCTACCTCACTCCTGCTACAGGTCCCTGGTGAAGGGAGACTCGGCCTGTCACAAACCTCCTCATCAGTGGCCAGAAAACATTATGCCATCACTTATGGTACAGGCAACTTCCGGGGTCACACTACAAATCCATGCAAACGTGACCTAAAGAAGAGTTAGCGTTGCTTCTTAGGGTTCCGCATAATTGAACAAGCAATTTAATGCACCAAAGCAGTCTAACTAATTTAACTAAGAAGAGAGAATGATTTTTTTGAGATTTCCCAGAACCTTCTGGGAAATGTCAAAGTCACTCAAGGTCAAAAAAAGATGCCATTTAGAATTTGATTTTCAGATGTCAGAATATCAAGAGTTAACACTTAATTAAATAGGCTCACAGATCATTATGAAAGGATACTCAGCTGTCTAAAGTGTTAATAAAAGATTTTCACAGCAAAGACAGATTATATAGCTGCAAACAAAATCTTTTTTCATACTGTGAAGATACAGTTTTCTTAGGTAATTAAAGACCTGATAAAGACAATGTGAGGCACAGGACATTATTGTGGTAGAACCATTTGCTTTTTCTTGGCAGATTGCTTAAAGGTTAAACAAAAATTTTCACAAGTTTTTATTAAAAATAAACCAATAACCTTAGAGAACTCTACCGTTGTAGGGGGATTTTTGTTTTTGTTTTTTTTTTTTGAGACGGTCTCACTTTGTAGTTCAAGCTATCCTTGAATTCACTTTGTAGCCCAGACTGACCTGGATCTTGTGGTGACCTTCCTGCCTCTGCCTCCTGAGTGCTGGGACTACAGGCATGCACCACCATGCCCGGCAAGTCAGTCCACTTTTGCTAGCTGGGCTTACGTCTCAGTTTGTTGTCTGTTGCTGTAACGGAAGGTATTTATTTAGGCTCAGGGATCTGTACAATGCTACATCCAAGATGGGGCTGGAGCACGTATAGAGGGTCTGGTACCTAGTCATAACATATCAGAATTCAGCAAGCAAGTGGCGGGTGGGTGACCCAGCTTTGTGACAACTGCTTTCCTGGCATTAACCCACTCCCAGGACAATGAGAACATACCATCATGAGAATCAAACCGAGTCCCCCAGGAAACACTAGTCCCTCTTGGCTAGTTTATAAACTACATACCTAGCTGGATTCAAACTGTGCTTTTGTTGCGGGACCAGTACCAAACTGAACGGAAAATGCTCTGCACCCAGGAGTTGGAAGGCAACCAACTTTATTACGCCAGGAAGCTGCTGGGGGATCGCCCCAAAGCTTCAGCCCAGAGCCAAGTTGTGGCTTAGTTTATAAAAGTTTGCAAGCAGGAAGTACAAAGGCTTACAGGGTAATAAATTTTTATTAGATAACATCAGTTATTTTTCATTGCTGAGCAGAAAGTCCTTGAGTCAGTGAGTAATAGCGTTGGTCATCTCTCCTTGCTAGAAAGTACAGGGTGTGCAGTTAAAAGCGGTCAGACGGAGCTGGGTCAGGCTGTCTCTGCTGTAGTCAGTCCAGGCTGAGTGAGTCTAACAGACAAGCTACGTGGTGGGCTGCACAATCTCATTCTGTCCTAATATGGTGTCAGACTACCAGCTGATTTTAATTTTAAAAAGTTTCCATCAGGGGTTGGGGATTTAGCTGAGTGGCACAGCGCCTGCCTGGCAAGTGCAAGGTCATGAGTTTGATTCCCGGTACCGGAAAAAAAAAAACAACAAAAAAAAATTTCCATCACACTTCTGGCAGAGAGAACAAATTAACAGAATGAGTGGCTTTAGCCACTCAGATGGCGAAAGCCTTGTGTTAATATTTGTAGGAAAAACTTCCAAGATCTGTCATTTTCCAGGCCCCGCACGCCTTTTCCCCTGACTGAGGGAGGTTTCACGGTGTCAGGGGAAGGCAGAGTGGTTATTATACCTCACAGGCACAGGGAGAGGATGCCAGTCTCCTCCACGGAGTTTTGGGGGCGCGTGTGCCTCGGATTCAAGTTGTAGGGTGTCACTAAGCTCTCCCCTCTTTCCCTTGCATGCAGGACAGTTACTCCCCAGTCTGACTTCAACTCTGCGTGTGTCTGGAGACGAACTGGGCAGGTCTGGGGCTCAGCAAGGGACGGTGGCTTCAGGGTCCCTCTGCGAGCCACATTTCTGATTTTGCGAAGCCTCTCTCTGCAAGACAGGAGCGGGTGATGTTCATTCCTTGAAGAATGAGTCCTGGCGCGCTTGCCCTCTAGGGGCAGCCCTGCCGATCTGAGGATATGATCCTCAATTTGCTCCTCACTGATGTCAGGGAGCAGATCTCCAACAAAGAGAACTCTTCCAGCTCCCATCTCCTTGACGGAGGGGCCATTGGCTCCATCTTGGCTGAGCCTGGCCCTGTTTGCATGTGCTGAGGTGTGCAGAGCCGGCTGGGACTTTTCCTTATCCCCCAGCTGGCTTTGAGCAGTGCCAGTCAGTCGGGCCAAGGTGCCGATGTGCAGTCTTTGAAGCAAAGACAACAGGGCAGTGTTTCCCTGGGGCCCCCCAGCTCCCAGATAAACACGTGTGAGCCGGGTGGGATGCAGAGCCACGCTCCACGCTGTCAGCTGGGATTGAGCGTCGAGATAAGAGGCTATGACTTCCCAGTATAAAAGAGCAGAAGCACCGACCCCAAAACATTAGACACTATCTCAGTTGTGTCATGCAGATTACCCTCTCTGCAGATCCTTCTCTCTGCATTTGCAGAGGTGATCTCAGGCCTCCTACCTAGCCCAGCTCACAGCACTCACCTACGTCCCACAGTTCTCAGGTCACTCATCCTCGAGCCACTCCCTTCTCCATGAACGAATAAAGCCTGGATTTGGCCCTGGGTCAAGGCCTTTGTTCTGGACAGCCATCACCATAGCTGGACTCAGGACACCCTTGATTCGCCACCATTTGGACGTATTATTGTGTATTTATGCCATAGGTCGCACTGGGAGTGGTGCATTGGAACTAACTCGATAAATTCCAGTAACTTTTCCATGGGATCACAAATGTAAACCTCCTGGGCCGCAAAGAGGACTGAGAAGGGCTCTCTCTACTCCCTGTGTTCTACATGCAGAAATGTGTGTCTCTGGAACGTCTAGTAGATTGTCCCGCCAAGCCTTCCGCGTGCTTGCTCCTTCTGCCACGTCCTCCGCGACTTCAGGTCCACTGAGTGACCCAGTGTCGCTGTCTGGAGCATCCGCTCAGATGGCGCTGCAGCCCAGCCACAGTGACAGGGACCCCCGTCACCAGGGCACAGGTGCTTTGCATATGCGCCAGCCTGGCTCTGGGTGGCCTCGGGCACCACAGTTCACTGGCGTGTACTCACCTATAATACCTCAACAGCGAGGGCTTCTCCGCTTGGCCCCTGCGAGGGTGCAAGGAGTGAGCAGGGAAGGAGCCTTCTACAGTGGTCCCGTGTAGAAGGGACTTGGCATGCCACCAGCTTCTATTCCACTCCGGACCACTGAAAAGCATTTCTGCACATGTACACGAGAGGATGGAGGGCTCCTGTTCTCCGGGAGCCTGTCAGTCCTCAGAGATGGGCGGGTGAGTGGACTTTCCCAGGCTGCATGTCCTGCTCCCTGGGCCCTTAGCTCAGATCTGGGCTCTGCCTTTGGGCCCTGAGGCAGTGCAGGGGGCAGCCCTCCCCTCTGCGGCATCCGCAGCCCAGGCGGGGTCAGGAGGTGCATGAGGACACTGATTCCCTTCCAGGTTTTACGGGCTTCCCAGCCTGGGCCCAGAGATGTCACCTGGCTCATTTTAAACCACGTGGTTTGGCAAACAGGAGGCCCTGAGCTCTATACCTGGTACAAAAAAAAGAAAATAGTAAAAAAACAAAACAAAACAAAAAAAAAAACCACAATGGCGCAGGCCTGTAATCCCAGCGCTTGGGAGGCTGAGGCAGGTGGATCACCAGGAGCTGGAGGCCAGCCTGGGTTACATAGCAAGACCTTGTCACAGACAAACAAACACCACAATGTAAAACAGTGCAGCCACTGTGGAAAACAGTGCAGCAGTTGCTGGAGAACGTCTACATGGCATTACCGCGGAGGCTGGGAGCCAGGAATGTGCACGAAATCACGGACAGCAGCGCGGGAGCCAGGTCAGTGCGCCCCTGCGTCCCCAGCAGCCTCACCCCCACGGCCCGCAGGGGTACTGACCAAGCAAGGCCAACGGCCAGCGGGGGACACAGACCAGCTCTGCTCCCCTGCTGACCCGACGCGCTTTGTGCTGCACGAAGCCGCGGCCCCGCGCTGACTAAGGGACTCAGAGCAGCACCCAGCCCCAGGGCCGGAGTCAGCCAGCCGGGGCCAGGGCGCGGGCCCTCCCTTGGCCGCGGGAGGCCTGAGGCAGCTGCCCAGCGTCCCCCGGAGTCCTTTCCCAGCCGCTCTCTGGGTCGCGCGGGCGGGAGGGGCTTCTCCTGCTTCCCACAGCTGCGTCACTGCTCCCAGAAAACGGCGGGGACACCGCCCCAAGGCGGTGGGGGTTGGGAAGGAACCCGGGCCCCTACTGACAGCCAGGGCAACCCCGTGATCAAGCTGAGCACATCCAGCCCCGGGAGCCCCGGGCGTCGGCCCCTGCGTTTTCATTTCTTAGTTTATTTAAATTTACTGGTACAACCATGTATTACAGCAGCCATTGATATTTTCCTACTAATCTATCCATAACTGTGTAAAGTTTGTAATGTTCCTATCCTATTTCATAAATGGGTGTATGTTTATTATTATGTGTTTCCTACAACAACCACTGAGAATAGTTAATGATTTTTCAATAGGTCACTCATGTATAGCTCTATTTATTTTCTTTAGAAGCCACTTTGAAGATACCAAAGTATAGCACAACTCTTGATAATCTCCTACCTCTTTTGTCTGTAACTCACTATTATTTGTCTATTTGTTTTCCTGAGAAACTATTTTGTAGATAACAATATGTAAAACGATAACCATTGATAATTTCCTACCACTTTGTCTGTAATTTGCTAAGTCCCCCCATTATTATGTTATCCTTCTTTTACTCTTTAAAATAAAAAAATAAAATAAAATAAAATAAATTTACTGGTACAGTTTAGGTACACACAGTGACCACACTCTCTGTAGGGAACTTGTGTGTGTGCGTGGTCTCCGATTCCTCTTCTTTTCCCCATTCGCGTCCTCTCCTTTCAAACCCCCTTCCCCTCCCTGTTCACAAAGTTTTGTTTCCATTTTACCCTTCTTTCATTTTCCTCCTGCCCCGTCCCCTGCCCTGGTTCCCTTTCCCTCTGAACAATATGTATTGTACTTTTCTTCCTATTTCACAGTATGTATTGTACATTTGTTTTTATCTTTCTGAGACAGGGTCTCACTGCAGTTCAGGCTGGCCTTGAACTCCCTTTGTAGCCCAGGCTGGCCTTGGACTCATGGCAGTCCTCCTGCCTCTGCCTCCTAAGTGCTGGGACCGAAGGCATGCACCAGCAAGCATGGATGAGCTCAGGGCTGGCTGCACTGTGGGAGGTGGGGTCTGCTTGGGGCGGGCACGGGGCTGTGACCTGGAAGGGTGCCTCTCCCTCCCCGACTCCTCCCTTCTCTGTGCTTCCTGCTGCCTTGAGGACAGTAGCTTTGCTTCACCACACCCGCCCTTCCACCATGGCACCTCTGCCTCTGAGCCGGCCAGCCGTGGGCTGATCCCCTGAACCGTGGGCCAAACGAACGCTCTCCTTGAAGTTGTGAGGGTCGGGTGTTTTGTCCCAGCAACAGGAAAGCTAGTGCACTGCACGTCTGCCTGGCGGTCGCAGTTTTACCTCTTTCAGAAGTAGCGACGAATCGCTCTGCAGAAGAGGCTGGAGGGCGAGCTGGTCCCCAGCCCTGACTGTGGCAGAAGGACACAAAGGAGTGGAATTTGGAACAAACGCCTCCTTCCCCTGTGAAGTAGAGAGAGAGCTGAGTGCCAGCCTTCTGTTGGATGAGCTCGTGTATCTGTGTTTCCATGCTTGTGCCTATACATGCGTGGGTGTGGGTGTGTACATGTGTGGTATATGCATGCATATGTGCACACACGTCATGGGTGCACATATGTGTCTGCACACCTATGTACATACGCGCAGGTCTCACAGGTGTGTGTGCGTGTACATGTGCCCATACACACGTGTGTGTGCAAAGGGCACACAGGTGGTTGCCTGCGTGCACTCGCGTGTACAAAGAGCGCTCCACCTGGCTCAGCCTGCCCCGTGTGCAGCCCCGCAGCAAGCCTGGGCCAGTCCTTAGCTTCAGTGCCTGCCAGAAGCTGGGGAGAGGGTGAGGCAGGGTCACTAGGGAAGCTCCACACGGCAGCTGCTTGACAAGTGCTGGCTGTTAGTCATAAAGAGCTCACACCGCAGAGCCGGGCCTCCTGCGGGAGAGCTGGTCGGCTGGCTCCCCCTTTCCTGCGTTTGGCTCCTGACACAGCGTCTCTCAAGCAACGCCTTCTGAAACCGGCGCGGCTTCTTTACCCACCACGCACAGCCCACAGCCCCCCGTCGTGGTCCGTTAGCTGTTTCCTTCACACACTCACACTGAGGAGAACTGAAGTAGGACCGGCGCAAAGGAAACAAAAGTATGAAGTTGAATGAGGGAAAGAACACAGCCTTGCCGCCCCTTGCTGCTCCCGAAGCCGCCCCACCTCGGAGCACTTGCCCTGGTGTGGGTTTCCTCCTTGTCTAACCCTGGCAGGAGCATTCCTAAGCGAGACTGTTCCCGGTGCGGGCCTTTTCCGAACTGTGTGTCAGTGGGAAGGGACAGGGACGGGCGCGCCACGCTGCGGTTCGCATTTTCACCTACGGTCATATCTGCGAGATTGTTCTGCGCTGCCGGGAAAGCTGTCTGCCTCTGCTGTCACCACACGGCCCCCTCTGGGGACCCCAGCTGTGTGCACCCCTTGTCTGGCGCATGCCCTGGCACACGGATATTGTGGATCCCGGCTTGGGCAGCTGAGGGCTTTCCCGCTGCGGACATCCTCGCTGGCACCTCCTGAGTGGCAGGAGTGCTCTGGCAGCTGAGCGGCCAGCAGACCGGGGAGCAGGCAGGCACTGCAGGCTCTGAATCTGGGGTGGAGAAACGGGCTAGTGCTAGGACTTATGACAGAGGAGCGGGGACACACATTTAATCTCCTAAAATGTCTCGCTGTCTCTGTCGTTACTTACAAAAACAAGCCATGTGCCGTCCCTTTCGGGTGGGGTGGCATCGTTGCCCTGTGACAACCCTGGACAGGTGGAAGGGTCATCGGGGAACCGGGGCCAGGCAGGCATGAGGGGCTGACCTCTACAGCTCTCCATTAAATGGGGGTGCGCGGGTTTGGTGGGTAAACCCTGGCACAGCTCGCTAGAACCTCCCCGTCTGCTAGTTGGTGCCGTGCTCCGCAGGCAGTGGTGCGGCTTTCTGAGCTCTTTGCCAGGGGATGGCCCTGGAGCCAAACTGGTGTCCTTGTCCTGCAGGAAGGGGTCCTCATGCTAAGGTGAAGGAAGGCAGAGGGGGGCGTCTGTCCAGGTGTGGACGGACCTGGACGTGAGCTCAGCCCTTACCAAGTCTTTGGTGACCTCTGGAGGGATTCAGATGCCTTGTTTGTGGCTCTGCACCACAGACAGAGCAGTGACCAAAGGAAACCTTAGCCACGCACCTCTGAGGCGGAACTTCACCTTGGGACCCGAGGCGGGTGACATGCACTACCAGACATGACCAGCAGAGGGCAGGGCGGGGCCAGGCAAGCTAAGGAGGGCCCTTACCCTGTGCGGGCAGCGTCCTTTCTAGCGAGGGAAACCTGCTGTCAAAGTCACTCTGTCGCGCACCACCCGAGAGAGGAGGTGACTCGTCCTCCGTGACTCCTCAGCCCTCTAGTCCCAGCTAGTCCCCGCCCCCTCCTGCGTCTTCTGTCCTGTCCTCAGGACCTGTCCTCACCTCTGCTCCGGAAGGCGGTGGCAGGAGGGGCGGGGCGGACGTGGTCTCCACCTGCAGGGGCTGAGGCAGGATGAGGACTCGCCGTGAGGCCCCTGTGCCCCGTCTGCCCCCACAGCCCAGCCTGCCAAACACCCAGAGGACACGCAGCCGTCCCGGGGACGCGGACCCCAGCCCGGACGCGGCTGTGTGGGCGCTCCACCTGGAACCCGCGGGTCTGTGACCACAGGGCCATGGCGACGCCCAGCTGGATTCTGGGGCATCGAGGAATTTGAAGACGGCGCAGGAAAGGGTCCCTTGGGGACAGAGGGACAAATGTCCAGCTCCCGCCACGCGTCCTGGGGGCAGAGGCTGAGAGCCCCAAGCTGCAGCTGGACACACAAAGTCCAGGGCCCTGAGCCTCGGCCCCACAGAGCTGGTCCCCGTGGCAGCCCTGGGACTGGAGAAGTGGAAGAAAGCACTTGTTCGGGGCGAGGGACTCTCGCCATTAGTGTCTTACAGGTGCTGAATGGCCCTCGCTGGGACAGATCTCAGAATCTCAAGAGGAGCCTCTTCAGAGAGGGCACAGCCCACACCCACTCCCCGGTCCCCATGCCCTGCGTGTGCCCGCCAAACTGCTAGGCAGACCCTCTGAGTTGGACACGGACCTTGGTGCCCATCAGGACGCAAACCAGACTCAAGCTCGGAATGGGCCACCCGGGAGCCAGACGTGTCCCAACGCAAACTTCCCTGAGCTGGGGACCAGCCTGCTGCCTCCCTGAAGACAGAGAGCGTCCACCTCGGTCCCCGTCCATCTACCCTGAACCCCCCACACTGAAGCTGGAAGGAAGACCCTAAGGGCCAGCAGGAGGCCAGGAGCCCTGGACAGTACACTGGACACCCTGTCCTGACCCCAGCGGACTGTCTTGACCCCAGGGGCAGGGTCTCAATCCCCCTAAGGACCCCAAGCTGGAGAGCGGGAGGGGAATTTTAAAAGCCATTCAGGAAACAAGCTTGCTACCATGGTTATCAAATTACGTGTTTATTCACATGAATTGTATAGAACTTTAAAATCCTTAATTTTTCACTTACGTGTTTATTCACATGAATTGTATAGAACTTTAAAATCCTTAATTTTTCACTAACAAGAGTTCAAATATTCTACCGAAAGTTCTGGGGGAAAAAAAAACCTCCAAACCAAGATAAAGTCGTTGAAATGCACTTAGGAAGCTTTTACAGAGACGGCCCCCTTCTGGGTAACCTGATGCAGCCTCCCCTCCTCTGAACAGCAACCTGCTCCCCAGTTCCTCCCGAGCAGTGTGCTCCAGGGACACGAAGGGGACTCGGACAGCAGTTTCCCCGGCGGGGGCTCCGGTGGCCTGCCCCGGGATGTAGCGCCTCAGGCCCGCCCCAGGCTCTTCTTGATGAAGTGGCCCACCAGGCGCTGCGGCCGCTGCTGGTACTCAGCTAACACCTCGTGCGGGCTGCTGATCTGGTCCCCGCACAGCCGGTCCAGGAGGGTGACACACACCACGGCCGCTGCAGAGAGCAGAGCCACCACGTCACGCACGCACACACGTCCGGCTGGGTTCCGGGGGGGGCAGGGCGGGCTGGGGGCTGAGGGGTGCCCTGCCCTTCCCCTCCAGGCCCCAGGGCCTTCTGACACATGGGCGACAGGCTGGCGAGGGGGCGGGGACGGGAAGGGCGCTGGGCCCGAGAGTTGGGGAAGCTCCCGCCGCCCTGAAACTGGACCTCTGCCTCCTCCACCCAGTGTCTTGTTTGGTGACGTGAAATCTGACCACCACAGAATCTAAGTCTCAGAGTGCTCCAGGAGCTGCCCTGTCTCTTTTGCGCCTCTTTCCTGCTTCCAGAGTCCCCAGGCCACCGCGGGACCAAAGGTTCACTCAGAAATAGACTCTGGAGGGCCAGGGATGCGGCTCAGCAGTGTAAGCGCTTGCCTGGCAAGACTGAGGCCATGGGTGTGATTCCCGATACCAAAAAGAAAAAGGAAAAGAAATAGACCCTGGGACAAGGAGGAAGTGCAGGAGACACGGGCCCGACACGCCGCCCACCTCGGAGGCCGCAGGCACTGCACATGGCGGCGAAGACCGACGACTCCATCTCGATGTTGCGGATGCCCGCGGCGTGCGCCGCCCGCAGGTAGTCCTGCTTGTCCTTCTCCGTGTAGGAGCAGAGGGCGCCGTCCAGACGGCCCTGGCCTGCAGCACAGGGGCCGCGCGCACGCTGACCGGTGCATCCGGCCCCCTCCCCCCGCCCCCAACCGGCCACTGTCACCGCGGGAGCACCGCCGCGGCTGGGGCCGCGGGACAGACGGGCCCCGCCCCCTCACCCTCGTAGAAGTCCAGGGTGCACATGGTGTTGCCCACCACCGTGGCGAACTCGCTGAGGTCCCCCGCGCAGCGCAGCAGCTCCTGCACCAGCCCCTCGTCCAGGTCGGTGCTGCGGACCACCCGCTTGCCCAGGACGATCTGCTCGAACTCCGGCTTGAAGCAGGCGTCCACGGCCTGCCGCGTGATGACCACGGAGCCGGGCTCCAGACCTGGGGCGGGAGGAGCGGACGTCAGAGCTCCGCAGGGCGGACGGGGCAGCGTGGAGAGAAACCGGTGTAACCCACCACACCTTCCGGTGCCACAGCGGCTGCTGCCATGGGAAACCGCACCCGGGTCTGAGTCACCCAGATGGAACCGCGGGGCAGTGCGGGGGAGACACGCAGACAGTGCCGGGACCCCCACGCCCGGGGTGCAGTGACCTGCGGCTCCCAGATGCCCGTCTTTGTCACCCTCCCCTCTGCCACATAGGGGGCCCGGGTGTGCTGAGGTGATCCCACCTGCTCTGCTCGAGAGCACGTACCAAAAAGTAGGAAGTAACACAGAAACTCGACCTCCCAAAAACAGCCTGGGTGACCGCCGAGCCCGCCGCTGTCCTCACTGACATATCCCGGGACAGTTGTTAACCCGGCTCGTTTGGGCTACGCCTTAAGGAGTGTTTTCACTCAGTTGCACTCCTTACCCTTGTTTTATGACATTTACACGGCTGGACCTTTGCGATGGACTCAGGGTCTAGGTTCCACAGAGGCTGTATATATCAAAACCAAGGCTCGCGGGCCACACCTGTCACACCTCTGGGAGGCTGAGTCAGGAGGATCAAAGGTGCAAGCCCCACCTGGGCAACTGAGCAATTTAATCAGACCCTATCTCTAAATAAAAAAACGGCTGGGAATGCAACTCTGCAAAGGCGCTGGGTTCTTCCCCAGCACTTACAAAAAAAGAAAGAAAAGAAGTCATATGTCAAAACCCTAAATGTATGGCACTGATGGTAGCAGAAGGCAGGGCTTTTGCAAGATGCTCAGGTGCTGAGTACAGAGTCCTTGTGAACGGGACCAGTGCTCTCAGAGACTTCAGAGAGATGCCACGTCCCTCCCACCGCGTGATGACACAGCAGTGTGGGGACCAGGAAGCAGGACCCCCAACGAGAGCCTTGCTGGACCCTCGCCTTGACCTTCTGGCTCCGGGTCTGAGCAGCCTAGGAGGCCTCAGACTTCCGGCTTTGGCTCCCACAGCCCCAGGGGCTGAGCGCACCACACCCCTGGGGTGATGCACATTGCGACAGTGTCCCGTTGTAACAATGTCAAATTGCAACATTGTAGCATTGTAACATCCGCCAAGAAAGCACAAATGCACCAGGAAACCTTCCTACAGCCCTCACTTAGCTGTCTCCATGAAAGACCAAAAACATGACTGAAGCCAGGTGTGGTGGCCCACGCCTGTGATCTCAGTACTCTGGGAGGCTGAGCCAGGAAGATCACAGATTCCAGCCCGGCCCAGAGAACTCAGCGAGGCCCTGAGCAATGGAACTGAGGGAGAGCTGAGCAAGACCCTGTCTCAAAAAATGAAAATAAAGGGCTGGGAATGTAACTCAGTGTACACTGGGTTCAATCCCAGTACAAAAAAGAAAAAGGAGGAGTATGAGGAGGACAAGGAGGAGCAGAACCAGACAGGATGGTGTGTACCTGTGGTCCCAGCTTCTCTGGAAGCTGAAGCAGGAGGATCTCGTAAGCCCAAGAGATTGTGAGACTAACCTGGGGAACATAGCCAGATTCTATCTCAAAAAACTTTTAAAAATTTTAAAAAAATACTTAAAAATGTGGCCAGCCGGGCACGGTGGTACATACTTGTAATTCTAGCACCTGGGAGGCTGATGCAGGAGGATCGCCATGAGTTTGAGACCCGCCTGGGCTACATAGTGAGTTTAAGGCCCACGTGAAATACAAAGCAAGACCCAGTCTCAGAAAAACAAACAAAAACGTGGGGAAGGGACAAGACTCCCAGCCGGCCCACTGTCCATGTGTATCTGAACTTCCTCTTGCCCGGCTGCTCCCGTCCCTGCTGGCCAGGTCCCCAGGGCCAGTTCCCCCCTCCCCCGCAGCCCCTCCCAGTTCTGAGGCTCCAGGACCCCGATGGGCGAGCCCTCCAGTGTGAGCGGCTGCCCTCTGAAGCAGACCCGCTTCTCCTGGGGACCCTGGGGCCTGGGCTGCCTGGGGCTCCTCCGTGCTCAGGTCTGCAGACACCTGCAGGGCCACTCCCTCCCAAAACTGTGCCAGTGCCACCCACGTGCCCAGGCTCTGTCCCCATCTGTCGCTTTTAGGGAGTGGTAAGGGAGACTGGTCACATGTTGTCCGTGACATCCACCGACGGGTCTCTGCTCACTCTTTAGAACGTCCACTTTTATGGGGCTACTTAGGGAGTTTCAAAATCTACCCAGTTCCCCAGAAGTCTTTCGGTCATCAATTTCTTTCAGTGCTGGTGATTGAACTGAGGATTCTGCACCGAACTACACCCCCAGCTCTTTTATTTATTGATGAAGAGCCTCGCTAAATGTTTAAGTTCCCACGGTTGGGCTCAAACTTGGGATCCTTCCTGCCTCAGCCTTTTTCTTTTTCTTTTGTTTTTTTAGGTTTTCTCATAAGGTGCTTCAAATCTTTGCAGGAAGGGGTGGGGCCCTGAGGGAAGGAGCAGAAGGCAGAAGGGAAGCGGGGATTAGAAAATAAATGAGAGTGGGGGCTGGGGATTTAGCTCAGTGGCACAGCACCTGCCTGGCAAGCACAAGGTCGTGAGTTCAATTCCTGGTACCGGAAAAAAAACAAAAAAAAGAAAAGAAATGAGAACAAAAGAATACCCAAAGTGCGGAACAGCTGAAGGACGAGCTTTGTGCGGGCGCAGCTGGGAGAACAGTGCAGAAGACATTCAAGCAACAACCTCCTTCCTGTGAACCTTATCGCGCGCCCCCGACCCCAGCGAAGCACAGCAGGGACACTCGGGGGGCAGCCCCACCCCGCTGGGGGCTGCGCAAGCCTCCTGTTCCCGCGCCTCGCGGCCCAGGGCCCAGCCCTTACCTATCCCGCCGGAGGTGCCGATGCGGATGATGGTGACGTCGGCGCACCGGGCGTGGTACAGCAGCTTGATGAGCTCGTGCAGCATGATGGCGATTGAGGGGATCCCCATGCCGTGCTGGAGGCAGAGAGACAGCCAGGCTGGGGCCCGGGGCGAGCTCTGTGCACCCAGCAGCCCCGCCTCGGGACAGAGACCCACATTCACAGAGCTTCTAGCATGGCGTCCGGTTGCAATTGCTCTATTTTACTGCTAGCTATTGTTATCGAATTCGGCCTCATCTCCTCGTCAGACTGTGCCACAGCAGGTGCTCGTGGGAAGAGCCAGCGTACACACAGGGCTTCACGCTAGCTGCGGTGTCCAGCACCCACGGCAGTCCTGGGGTGCACCTGCTGCAGTTTCGGGGACTCCTGTGCCGCCCATCCACCTAAGGAGCTCCTCGTGGGGACAACGGAAGGCGAGCTTCAAAACAGTTCACAGCCCGCGAACACTCGGAGCTGGGAAGTGTGCACGCCGCGGTCCTGCTCGTGACCCCAGCTGGCGCACACGGACTGTCCACTTCCGGTAGGAAGGTAGTAAGCAGCTCCTGTTTGCCCCAAAGCCCAGCAAACGCCCACCCCACGGGCTTGGGAGGGGTTCCCCTCCTCACTTTTCTCCCCACATGCTCTGCTTCGCGGCCAGTCCTCTGAGTAAGTGGCCGGTCCCTCGGAGTCTATGCACCTCCTGTGCCTCGTCCTCCATCCCAGTCTCTGTGCAGCGCCCCCCCCCCCCGCACCTCCCAAGGAGCCTGCCGGGGACGTCGCTGTCAACGGGCACTTCCCCATGCCATTGCTGAGACACAGCCCTAGGGCAGAGGACTCTTCCTAATTGGTCTCAGCGCCCTCCTCCCCTGGGACATGCTTCCACACACTGTCTAACTCGGCGTTGCCTTTGGGCTCCCAGATGTGTTCATGACATCACCACTGGCCCCGGCCGACGAGCCAGGGATGCACATCTGGAGGAGAGCGCCGAGCCGGCTCACTCTGCCAATTTCCGTTCCCGTCGGCGCTGACAAAGGAAATCAAAGCCAGCATACAGAAGACCTCGCTGGTGGAATCCACCCAGTCAGGGACTTAACTCACACATGCGAGGTGGCCAAGGGGACGGGAGGCCGGGACACGGCTGCGGCTCTCCTCACAGCCCGCTCTGCCCCAGGCACCCGCTCCTGAGTCCCCGCACACTCGGCCGCTGGCTCCCTGACGGCCACCTGCGGGCTGTGTGGACAGCTGCGCCTGTTTGCATCTGGATTTGCGCATCTGCAGCCTCCCCAGGAGCCCAGGCCAAAGCGGAAGCCTGGGTCCCCGCCTCTCCGCCCCCCGGCTGTGGGGCCTCTCAGAGCAAACAGGAGATAAAGGCACAGCTGTGTGTGTGTGCAGAGGGGCAGGCGGGGCCGGCGGGGTCCCCGGGGCGGGTACTCACGCTCACGGACAGCACTGGCCCCACTTTGTACATGGCGTAGCGGTCGGTCCCCGAGCAGATGTTGGGGTACTCATCCCCAGGACGGCCGAGGCCCAGCTCTGTGGCCACGTATCTGACGAAGGTGAGCATCCTGGATGGGCTTCCCCCCACGCACACAAACTGCAGCAGAGCACAAGGGGGTCCTCAGAGCTGGGTCCACATCGGCAGCAGCGTCACCTAGCCACTCGCTAGAAATGCCAGCAAGCTGCAGTAAGGACCCCCGGTGACTGTCAGGAGTGCCGGCCTCAGCCCCACCTGCAGGGCCCGGAAGGCAGAGAAGGGGCCAGGGGAGCTGGGGTTCTGAGGACAGCCTGGCTCTGGACACACCCGGGGCCCCTCGCTGTCCTGCCTCCTCCTTGTCTGACCAGGGCCCCAGACCCATCTGTGAACGGGCTGGGATCACTTCCTCTTGACCACCCGGGGACCCAGGCGTCTCTGCACAGAAAGAATCCTGGGCCCCGTGGGGACGTGGAAGGTACAGCCATTCAGGGTGGGGTCTCACCCAGAACTGAAAACTGTAATTTGCAGAGCATCATGTAAGAAAAGATTTTGATTTGCAAAAAATTAAAAGGTAAATAAACCCTTTTTAATGAGTTTGAAGCTAACAGAATAGGCCGGGCATGGTGGCGCATGCCTGATCCCAGCACTCGGGAGGCTGAGGCAGGAGGAGGATCATTGCCAGTTTGAGGCCAGCCTGGGCTACAAAGTGAGCTCAAGGCCAGCCTGAACTGTATAGCCAGACCCTGTCTCAAAAAAAAAAAAAAAAAAAAAAAAAAATAAGATAACAGAAATAAATTATTAGGGAATGTAGCTCAGTGGCACAGTGCCTGCCTGTCAAGCACAAGGTCCTAAGTTCAATTACAGGTACAGAAAGAAAGAAAGAAAGAAAGAAAGAAAGAAAGAAAGAAAGAAGGAAAGAAAGAAAGAAAATTATTAGTTTTAAACATGAAAAGAAATTTCTAAAGCCTGGAATTTAAAAAATCACTATATACTAATCCAATAATAATAACAGTAATAATAATGCCTAAAAGAATGGCAATGGTAATTAAGCTTAATAGGATGAATGGAATTTTAGGGAATTAGAGGACATAAAAAGTGGTCCCACAGTTTGAAGCCAATATTCCCCAAACAACACTACCAGTAGCAGACGGGACACATCTCCACTGTTAGCCTACGAGCCCTGTGCCAACGCTGGAGTCTGTGGTTTGGTTCGTTTTGATTTTTCATTCCCCAGGGACTAGACATCGGAAAAGTCCTGTGTTAGCAGGAGGATAACGTAACTGTGGTAGACACCGAGTGGCTGTGTATTACAAAACAGGCAGCAGAGAAAGTTCCAAATGGTAAGTTTCTGCGTTACGGGTGCTCTACACCCTGAGCTGATCATTATTAGCCACTGCAGACCCCTATTAAAATATCGCACTACGTCCTACAAACATACCGCTACTATGTGTCAGTGACAAATATATTTAAGTTCCCTTTAAAGACTGTGTTTAGGATAATTCTCACTGGGGAATTTAAAATTCTGTAGATAAAACAGACTAAAGCTATATCCAGGAAAACTGGTCTTTAAAACAACTAAACAATATCAATATGAACCTGAAATTCCAAGCAGATACAAATTCTTTGTGTGTGTGTGTGTGTGTGTGTGTGTGTGTTTGTGTGTGTGTGTGTGTGTGTGTGCCTCTTTTTGAGATAGGGTCTTGCTGGACTTGAGCTCACTTTGCAGCCCAGGCTGTTCTCAAACTCACAACAATCCTCCTGCCTCAGCCTCCCGAGTGCTGAGATTACAGGTAGGTGCTACCACGTCCGGCTACAAATTCTATTTATTATGCTTGCATGCCTTGAAAACATTTATTTCCCTCTCCTCTCAGTGAAGTGTTGGTTCTATTTTATTTATTGAGACAGGGTCTTGCCATGTTGCCCAGGCTGGCTCCAAACTTGAGCTCAAGCCATCCTCCTGCCTCAGCCTCCCCAGTAGCTGGGATTACAGGCATGGGCAATCATTCCTGGCTCCTCCAGAAGTTTATCTTAGATACTGTTTCAATTACGTACTAAATTTGCACACACACTTAGGACTGTTTCCTGTCTTACCGGCTAGTTCACATGCTTGAAAAGACTCGAGATTCAGATCCATCCAGGGACCTGTCACCTGTCACCTCTCTGCCAGCAGTGAGGCAGAGGAGGGCCCAGGGCGTGTGACAGATGTGGAAGGAAGAGTGGCGCGTACCTTCACGTCCCCGAACATGGCCGGGAGGTCGTGCGTGCTGGTGCTCAGGCTGAAGTGGTAGAGCACGTCCTCCTGCATGGCCGCCACGTTGGGGTTGGAGAGTCGCACGAGGCGCTCCCTGGCGGAGAACAAGAAGCAGAGGGTTGGGGTGTGGTGCCCCGTGGGTGCCCCTGCCACAGATGCACCCCGAGTGGACACAGGGGCAGGATGGAAGGGGAAGGGGAAGCCCTGCGCCAGGGCAGCCCTTCCTGTCCCCCGCTCTGGATTCTTCACCCCAGCGCCCAAGTCCACAGGAGCACGAAGCATACAGTGTGAGCTCCGCCACACTTCCGGGCTCATTGTACTAGCCGCCCTGTACTCAGCACAGGAGGCTGGGACAGCAACCGCAGGGGCGGGGACACCCCGTCTGACTCCTGCACCCCCCGCTGAGCCTGCCAATCCCTACGCCTTGCTGTGTCTTGTAATAGCTGCCCCTTCTGCATGTCCGTATCCATCAGTGGTAGTGACATAGACAGCCCATCATTTCGCTGTTTTTCAGGTTATAAGACCATCTGCGTGTGGCTCATACATTTCTCGTGTGTGTGTGTGTGTGTGTGTAGTATTGGAGAGTGAATCCAGGGCCTTCACACTGAGCTATGTCTCCAGACCATGTATATATATATTTGGGGCTCTTTTGGGTCAAGATCTCTCTAAGTGCTACATTGCCTAAGTTTGGCTCAAACTTGCAATCCTCCTGCCTCAGCCACCCAGAGTTCTGGGATTCCAGCCCTGTGCTGTCATGCCTGGTTTCATATTATATTTCTTCTGGTTTTCTTTTTTTTTGCCAATCAGATTTCATTGGTATATTTTAGATATACATCATGACCACCTTCATCATAGAGAATTTGGGCTGGGGAGATAGCTCAGCAGCACAGCACTTGCCTGGCCAGTGAGAGGTCCTGAGTTCAATTCCTGGGACCAGAAAGAGAGAATTTGTACCTGTACATGATATAACTTATTTTTCGTACTACATTTCAAACTGGACAGTGCATTGCTGCTCTAGAATGGAGCTTAGCAAAATTTCTTTTCATAGAAGGCCGGTGGTAGCTGGGTGTGGTGGCCCGTAACTGTAATCCCAGCACTCTGAAGGCTGAAGCAGGAGGATCGCAAGTTCCAGACCAGCCAGGGCAACTTCATGATTAGTGAGGCCCCGTCTCAAAGCAAACAAACACAAAAGGCTGGGGATAACGCTTGGTGTGAAGGCCCCAAGCCCCTTCCCCGGCACTGGGGGAAAAAAGACCAACGTGGCTCTTGGGGCCACTGCGTTTCTGCACCCCTTTGCCAGCCACTGTCCCTGGAAAGCAGCGTGGACAGCACACAGGCGTGGCCGGATTCCACAATACCTCCCTGGCACACGGGGCCCGGGCCGGAGCCCACAGCCAGCCTTGCACACAGCCTCTCCGAGGCATCTGACTCCCCAGCCCGGTGAGGCCCCCTGGGCTCCTACACCCGGGCCGCCAGGGCCTCTGTCTTCCCTCCGAGCCTGGCTTTGTATCCAGGGCCAGCTGTGCAGGTTTGCTCCCCCACCGGCTCACGAGGCAGGAGAACAGATGCAGAGACGGGTGCCCGCTGCCGCAGGCAGGGAGTGGGGTGACCCTGGCCTCACAACGCTGCAGACGTGACCCGTGGCCCATGGGACTGCACTGTGAACGCGGGCCTCTCCCGGTCACAGCAGGGAGCACAGGCCGGCCATGCTGGGCAGGCCGGGCGTACGAGGCCCCGTGACACGTGACAGCCGGCAGTGTCTTCAGCAGCGATGTCAGTCGGGGCCCTCACACCAGCCGAGGGGCCCTCACCCGGCCCCCCTCCCCAGAGGGTGCTGCGAAGGCCGGCTCATCACAGCGATTTCCACGGCTAACCAGGTCGGCTGAACACAGGACGCTGTCAAAGGCCGCGCGCAGGACAGAGAAGCACAAGACTAGGAGACGGAGCTCCCTCAGGAGAGGGGTGGGGCTGCGTGGCCAGCCGGTGTGAGGAGATAGCAGCCAGCCTCGGGCCGGGGGTGACCGCTCCCCACCCGCACATGCCAGCCACACCTGGGCGCTGTGCCAACCGCACCGCAGGCAGCCGCTCGGGACGGGCAAGCTCGGCCCTGTGCCCGGGCGGCACTTCCCAGCCCAGCCTTGCTGGTTCTCGGCCTGTTTGACTTGGGCAGGGATGCTCGGGGGCCCAACCAGAAGTGCATGCGGCGAGGACGTCCCCGCTGCTCCCAGAAGCCTTTTAGACTTCCGGAGCCCCTGAAGCCCTGACCGCCACAAAGCCCTCCAGCGCTGAGCCTCGGTGCTGACAGTTGGGTTTATCCTGAGCACGGCGCGAACACAGCGTAAACATCAGGGCCCAGGCAGGGGTCAAAACAGCGCGGCGGGGTGGGGTGAAGACAGCCCAGCCGCAGGTTTCCACACAGAAGCCTTTCTTTACACTTCAGCTCAGGACGAGCTGGAGGAGGAAACGGCGCAACCGTGAGTCCAGCAATGATTTCAAAATGCGAAACCGTGAGATGTGGCGTATGAACCGGACATCCTCCAGCACTCCGTTCCGTTCCCCAGATTTTAAACTGCGGGGGGCCCTGGCCTTAGGAACTCGCTGGCTCCGGAGAGCTGGTTGTCACCCTCATTGACAGTGAAGGCTCGGGCTCCACCACGCAGCCTCAAAGTCTCTCCTGTACACAGAGACCTCAGCGTCCTTCCAG